AGTGTAAAGTGTAGAGTGTGGAGTGTGGAGTGGAAAGTGCACAGTGTGAAGTGTGGAGTGGAAAGTGTAGAGTGTGGAGTGTGGAGTGTAAAGTGTGGAGTGAGGAGTGTAAAATGTAAAGTGTGGAGTGAGGAGTCAAAAATGTAAAGTGTGGAGTGTAGAGTGTAAAGTGTACAGCGTAAAGTGTAGAGTGCGGAGTGTGGAGAGTAAAGTGTGGAGTGAGGAGTGCAAAGTGCAAAGTGTAAAGTGTAGAGTGTGGAGTGAGGAGTGTAAAGTGTAAATTGTGGAGTGAGGAGTGTGGAGTGTAAGGTGTGGAGTGTGGAGTGTGGAGTGGAAAGTGTAGTTTGTGGAGTGTGGAGTGTAAAGTGTGGAGTGTGGTGTGGGGTGTAGAGTGTGGAGTGTGGTGGAGTGTGGGGTGTAGAGTGTGGAGTGTGTAGGAGTGTGTAGGAGTGTAAAGTGTGGAGTGCAAAGTTTAAAGTGTGGAGTCCAAAGTGTACATTGTGGAGTGTAGAGTGTAAAGTGTAGAGTGTGAAGGGGGAGTGGAAAGTGCAAAGTGTAAAGTGTAGAGTGTGGAGTGAGGAGTGTAAAGTGTAAATTGTGGAGTGAGGAGTGTGGAGTGTAAAGTGTGGAGTGTAGAGTGTGGAGTGGAAAGTGTCGAGTGTGGAGTGTGGCGTGTAGAGATTTAATTTAAAGTGTGGAGTGAGGAGTGTGCAAAGTGTAGAGTGTGGTGGAGTGTAGAGTGAGGAGTGTGCAAAGTGTAGAGCGTGGTGGAGTGTAGAGTGTAAAGTGCCACCCTTGCCACGCAAAACGACATGACAACCTCTTTGGAAACCTTCGAAAGGGAGAGATTTTGCAGCTTCCCCCATAGACACGGCGACGCTACAGGAAAACCAGAGACTTGAGACGAGAGATGTGGGAGCATCAAAACGAGCCTTTCGTGCGAGACTTCCTCCAATTTTCACACTTTGTATATAGCTTCAAAATTGACGTTTTCCTGCGAGTTTTCGTACGAGCCTTTAAATTTGCTACCTCAAAATCGATGTTTCGTGGGAGGCTTCCGTCAATTTTCAGCACATCTCACAAAATGCCACGTCTGCCACGGAATCTGCACCTTGTCGCCACTTGACGCAGCCCTGCCAATGCGATTCGTAAAAAACACGCAACACGACGCGTCTAAAGTGCTGCGCCTGCCACGCAAAATGACGATGGACACGTCCAAAGTGCTGCGCCGGCCACGAAAACTGCAACGCATCTTCTGAAAACGTCGCAAAAGTAGTGCGCCTGCTGCACAAAATGACTTTCGACACGTTACAAAACACGTCTGAATGTCACGAAGTGCCACGCCTGCCACGCGAAACGCAAAAATTAGCCCTTCTGGAGAACTTACCAGAGGCACGGCCAAATAGCAATCGCGCGGACGGTTGCGAGTGGTTGCGGACGGTTGGACAACGGGAACCCTTGCTTCGGGAAAGACAGGGAAAGGAAGGGAACGGAAGGGACAGGAAGGGAAAGGAAGGGAAAGGAATGGAAAGGACGGGAAAGGAACGGAAAGAAAGGGAAAGGAAGGGAAAGAAAGGGAAAGAAAGGGAAAGGAAGGGAAAGGACGGAAAAGGAAGGGAAAGGAAGGGAAAGGACGGGAAAGGAAGGAAAGGAAGGGAAAGGAAAGGAGAGGCTGATTTGGAAATCAGCCGCCGTCGCATGACCGTGCTCAAATGAGCTTGCTTGGCTATTGCGCACTGTCACTCAATGTTTCCGCGCAGAGCTGAAATTACTTTACTTCGAGTTATCCCCACCATGACATCTACACGTTTTGTTACTGGCAAATCTTCTGGCATTCTATCTGACATATCTTCTGGCATTTTATCTAGCATATCTTTTGGCATATCTTCTGGCATATCTTCTGGCATTCTACATGGCATATCTTCTGCAATATGTTCTGGCATATCTTCTGGCATTCTATCTGACATATCTTCTAACACTCTATCTGGCATATCTTCTGGTATTCTATCTGGCCGTTGAGGTCCGGCAGTGCACGCAGAGCTGGGAAGGTCCCAGGTTGAGGTCCAGCGGTGCACACTGAGCTGGGAAGGTCCCAGGTTGAGGTCCAGCGGTGCACACTGAGCTGGTTTGGTCCCAGGTTGAGGTCCAGCGGTGCACACTGAGCTGGTTTGGTCCCAGGTTGAGGTCCAGCCGTGCACACTGAGCTGGTTTGGTCCCAGGTTGTGGTCCAGCGGTGCACACTGAGGTGGGAAGTTGGCAAAGAGCTTGGCGAAGAGTTGGCAAGGCGGAAGTTGAGGTGGAAGTTGATGCAGACATGATCGAGGAGAAACTGGAGGAGGAGGCAGAGGAGGAGGAGAAGGCGGAGGACGAGGAGGAGGAGGACGAGGACGAGGAGGACAGCTAGCCGAGGAGAACAACTCTGATAAAATCTAACAACCCTCACCTGGCAGGTGGGGAAAAATGAAATTTGCAGTGCATGCGTCCATAATGTTCATCTTCTAAAAAGAAGCTGGCAAGAGGCGAAAAAGAAATAAACCAATTATCAGTATTACTCAAATTTGTTTGCTGTCGTTTTGCTTTTGGGTTCTCAGCCCCCCCTTGTTTGCCTAACCATGACATTTCCGGTATCATTTCGGTTGACAACCCCTTGTTTAGCCAGTCCTGTCTTGTTGCTTTCAGGAAAAAGCAATGGTTGAAACGATGATTTTTCGCAATTGAGGTTGCCATAAATTGGAGGGGAACCCCCCTCCAAACAGATAAACTTGTTTGGCAAGGTATCCCATACAATCACAATTTACACATTTCTGTAGCACCTTTTTTGCCTAAGCGATCCCATCCCATGATGTTGGTTCGATCCCATTAAGCCACAATTTCCATACAAATGATCGTGGTGAAATCCCCTTGAATCCCCAAGAAAAGAGTCAGCCATAGGCCCATAGTCAGCCAGATTAACCCGATTGACCCCTTGAATCACTCGGACTTGGGGCTCCCCACCTGCGACTTCATTTTGGGTCTTGGTGCGGACCTGACCTGGGGAAGGTGAGGATTAGTGGATGGGATCGGGTTGGAAAATCTCCTTGCAACTGGGGTTATTTCCTACTTGGTAAGAAGAATGAAACACTATAAGTATACAAGGTGGTGCCCCATACTTTGTCAACTTGGTGAACATCATTATTCCACTTTTATGATACCTACTAGATCTTTTCGTTAATGGGTGTTCTAAAGCGACAGACAAAGCGGGAAGGGCACCAGATTGTAGTAAAAAAGGCGATTTAAAGGGTTTCAACCAACAAATTGAAGGTTAATGGAATGTAAGAAAATGTGATCCAACCAAAACCAAACTATGGGATGGAAAGGGCTTCCAAGAATTGAGAAACCTTTATTTCAAAGACCAAAACATGAGGAAAACCATGCCCAAACCATGGTTACTCCTTTCAACCCACAATTTTCGGGGTCGGGTGAAACATTCAGTCAAACATATTCTAGTAACTAATAACAATCAATAACCATCAATAACAAAATAACCATCAATAATCACCATCAATCATCACCAATAAGTCAATAACCACAAGATTCTAGAAGAGGGTGATGTGAACTGACACAATTCTGCTGGCGTCATTGGATTCACCGAAAACTCCCAAATCAGCCTTCCGAACCAGTTCTTCCGAAGGATCCGACATATTCGAAAAAACAATCAACAGTTTGGCGCATAGAAAAAACATGCACAAAACTAAAATTAAAAAACAAATCCATGGCTCACTGGAAAAATCTATGAAGAAACCATGGAAGATCGTCGAGTTCCTACCTGGCCTACCTGGTCAAGTGAGATGGAATTCATGGCTTTATGGTCTTCCATGGGAAACCTAATATAATGTAAAACAATAGGCATGGATAAATAATCACATACGAGGGAAATGATGGTATAACTTGGTATAACACAATTCAGAATGCAATTTGTACCATCATGTGCCATGGTACTTAGATGGGCCATGGGATTAACTACCTGGTTAGTAACTGGGGATATAACCCTCTATATCCCAATTATAATCCATTTACCAACTAGTTAACTAACTCCATGGCCCATCTAAGCACACCATGTGTCTTTTCTTCGGGGTCACATTCTCGCCAAGGGTGTCAGTAGGGGGCAGGGATGTCTTGAGTAATATTTCTGGATATGTTTTGTTGATTGTGAGGAGCATAATGACAAAGACCAGGAAAGGGATAACTGTCATGGAGATTCAGCGAACTCGGTGACGCCCCCAACAATAGAGATTTCTCGTCAGAGTTTATACCATTACTGTAACCACCAAAAGCCACTAACTTAAGGACTCATTAACCATTTATTTTTGGACATATCACTTGGAGCATGGCCAAATAGCAATGAAACTGTTGATACTCAACACCCACAGTCTCTGGCACTTACGAAGGCCAAGCGACGGTGGTGACCGTAGTCGCGTCGCTGCTGCCCTGCAAGTGTCTTAACAAAGGTAGGTCCACCGTGCTACCTATATATGGTACTTAGATGGGCCATGGAGTTAGTTAACTAGTTAGTTTTTTTATTTTTTTTTGATATAGAGGGTTATATCCCCAGTTACTAACCATTTAGCTAATCCCATGGCCCATCTAAGTATAGATACAGAATCAATCTAAATGAACAATGGTAAATAATTAATATATCTATGTATATATATATATATATCCATCCATCAATAAGCGTCAATAACCGCCCAAAACCATCAATAACAAATTACAAACAAAAAACAATAATCATCAATAACCATCAACAACCATCAATATGTCAATAACCATCAATTACCATGAACAACCATCAACAACCAGCAATAAACATCAATAATCATCAACAATCATCAATAACCATCAAGAGCCATCGATAACCATCGATAATCATAAATAACAATCAATAACCATCAACAACCATCAATAACTAACCATCAACCACCATCAATAACCATCAATCGCAATCGATAGTCATCAATAAACATCAAGAACCATCAATAATTAACCATCAATAATCATCGATAATCCCTTCTTCTTATTACTAAACCCCTCATAAATGATAACAACTACTCCAGATTATTTGTTTTGGGAAATTGCAGATAGGTCAATTTGACTTTTAATTGATCCCCATTGGAAAACAATTTAAAAATCAAGGTCCCTTTGAAGAATCTACCCCCCTTAATCATTAAAAAAACTAGTTAGCACAGGGGTGTTTTTTTTTTGGTGGGGGGTCCGTTTGTTCAAATCAAAAATTTCAGTTTTAAAAAAATAAGGTTTTCAATGTGTCTTATATTAGCGGAAAGCTTCGAAATCCAATTTTTCGCAATATTTTAATTAGATTCTAAAAAGGAATTTCATCGGTTTTGAAACCAAAAATTTTAGTTTGTTTTCTTTTTATTGAGGTTTTAAATTGAATATGAGGGGAAAGCTTCGAAATCCAATTTTTGGCAATATTTTAATTGGGATTTAAAAGGGAAATTAATCAGATTGTGAAATCGGAAATTTTATTATTGAGGTTTTTAATTTAAAATTAGGGGAGAGCTTCGAAATCCAATTTTTGGCAATATTTTAATTAGCTTTTAAAAGGGAACTTATATAATGGATTTTGAAATCGAACATTTTAGGTTTTTTTTTAAAGTTTGTAATTTAATGTTAGGATCCAGCTTCTCCCCCGAATATTAAATACCACCTAATAATAAAAACTACCCCTAAGTTTTATTATTGGGGGGGAGGGGGGGACGTTTAATATTAGGGTGAAGGGATTAGTCATCAAAAAAAAACATTAAAAAATCGGGGTTCAGATAAGGGGGGAGGAGTTGTGCAGAGCAATTTCATAGGTACAAAACACAATGCATCCGACCTGCAACTACAAAATTGGCTGCACAGGTGCCCTACAAAATGCAGAGCACAACCTGATTTGATTCAGAAAACATTTCAAGATATGCACTACAAAAAGCTATGCATCTGAAGTTGAAAACTAGCTGAAAATCGGAAATTCAAACATTAAATTTCCCAATCACATTTTGTAGTTGGGTCTATGCCATCCAAAGTTCCGACCAACATACTTTTCAGAAAACATTTTGTAGTTGTCACTGATTGAATTTGATTGGATCAAGTGTTAACCCCATGCAGTTGTTAGATACCATTCTGTACTGGCAGCGGGTTAAAAATATATAATTATAGGTTACGCACTGCCAGCGTCTTCAATTACTGTTTTTAGTTGGGAGCGCCGGTGGAGGATGTGAATATTTGTCCCGTTGCAAACTACAAATTGTTCTTGGTCAAGTCTGGAGGAGCCACAAAATGCAGCTGACATTTTATGGATGTTTCAACTTCCTCAACATATATATACAACTACAAACTGCAAATGATATTTTATGTTGGATGCTTCAACTGACTCAACATATACAACTACAAAATGCAAATGAGGATTTGAAATGAACAAATTCCGAACGATTTCCAAACGCTACGAAATAAATGAAACTACAAAAAGCTTGGCACAAGCGCATTTTTTTGTACAAAACGACCCCTGGCTGGCAATTTGTACTGTAGCCCAAGTCCTTCCCTTTCGGTAGGTGTTATCCAATCCCGGATACTAAAAATCAATCACCATCAATCACCATCATTCACCATCAGAAACCATCAATAGTCACCATCCTATCATCATTTTCGATCTTAAAAAACCACAGCCCGTCTGCCGGGAGCAGCTGCCTTGGAGGACAAAGCGGCAGAGGCTTCCGTGCTCTGAGCACTGGGTTCGCGCAGCACGGCATCCTGCGAGCGGCGAGCGGCTTGCCACGGGGCTGCGCTTTCGGGGGAAGCCCTTGGGAGATGTTGGTAAAGCAATAGGAGCTACCATCCCCAGTCTCGAAATTACCATTTCTGAATGATTTAAAACCATCAATCCATACTTGGTGGTTCATCTCTGTAAGTAGGTTACAAGCCCAGTTACAAGTGGATTAAGCCTACTTATCCCACTTATAACCAGGGATATAACCTAGTTAGTAAGTGGGATGAGCCACCAAGTATGGATTGATAGCTTTAAATCATCTAAAAGGTAATTTCTAGACTGGGGATGGTGGATCCTATAACTTTACTAACATTGAAGGAATGGCCATCTCTTCCTATGCTAATTAGTATATTAGTATGCATTAATATGTATTTTTATGTATAATGAAAGATAATTATATATATATATGTATGTATACATTCAAGCTGTGTTTTGACCATGGCTCAAACGATGAGGTGCTAAGTTGAAAGGGGATTTTTTAGGCGATTAGAGCTCTGAAGTAATGGTTTTCCATGGGTGAATGCAATCAGATATTTTTCTGGGCCAAATCCATGGATAAAGTTTACATAGGTAAATGCAATGACCTAATGGGCTAAATCAATGGAACAACATAGCCTAAGGCAATTGAAGTAGATCAAGATAGATCACCTAGTTTGATCTATGCCTGGCTTCTTAACCTCGTTACTCAAAACACTAGCTTCATATGATGGCCAGTTTTTGAATGGCTTCCCTTCATCCAGCTCCTTCGAGGTCGGACACAAAAAAACGAAAAAGATACCGAAAGGTATTGAGGAACAATAGCAGCCATTAAGGAATCAATCCCGAATAGGAAGTATGATACACTGATACACCTATCAATAGCACCCAAGTTACATCCCGTATATCAGGTCCTCAAGAGGAAAGATTCTGGATCGATAGGCTTTTTTGAAACATGTCTGCCACCAGGTTTTCTCCCAGCCTCTGAAATGGTCGGCAAGCCTTCCTGGTGTGCTGTCGATGGGGATCAGCATCCCGAGATCAAACTGATCAAACACGGTTTGAATGGTCCATTGATAGCATGGATTTACCGCTATAAAATGGTGAAACTCACCTTGTTTGAAGGGATGTTGCCTAGATGGTTCCTTCCACGTTGGATCAGTTTTTCAGGACTTTCGAGGGGTCGACTAGCCACCACTCCCAAATAATATGTGGCCAAAGAAAAGTGATTCTGAATAAGGCAGAAGCAGCACAAAAATGGAGATCTAGTCAACAAGAAGTGATGAAGATAACGATATGTTTTCAACCTCGATACCCTCGACCTGGTCTCTTTTTTTCTGTGTTTTCGATACGCAGCGTGGGAATACCCATAATCAAAAACAAAGAAAGACACAACTGAGGTTGGGGGTTTATATACCTCTGGATAGCTGTGGCACATCACCATTTCTTGGCAAATCATCGATGAAATGGATCCAAATGGGCCATCAAGTCACCATAGCTATGTTACCCTCTGGTAAACATACAAAAAGCTATTGAACATGGCCATTTATAGTGAAATTTCCCATTAAAAATGGTGAGTTTCCATAGTTATGTAAACGTTTACCATTATGTGAAATCACCGGATGATGACCCATCCCTGGATCTTTTCCCAAAAGCACCCCCAAAAGCAGACGGCCTTGCCGAAAGTCATGGCACCACAATCTATATCTGTCACCTGGCAGGAATGGATCAACAGCATAAAGGGCATAGGAATGTTAGCCAACAAAAAATATCAATCATGGGGATTTGGCATGATTTGACCAACAAGAAGGTGGTTACCGGGACGTAATCATCAAACAAACACGTGGATTTAAGCATCAAAATTCGGAATTTCAGAAATTGCATGCCATCCGCTTGTACTGCCCGATAGGTGTTCCCATATTAGATAGGTTTACAGCCCCAATAATTCAGCCGCTTAGTGGCAGTATAACTCTAATCCCAACTCTCAACCATTTCAGGATGAATCGTGATCTTTGGTCATCTTTCTAGCTCTTTCTGTCCCCATTTTCGACTTTTTTTCTAGTTCGTTAACATCCATAAACCGCAGCATAGAACCACAATGAACCCATTTTAAGGGAAACCTCCAGGAACCTCTCTCACCTGCACTGGAGCTTCCAGATCAGGAATGGCGCTCACCTGAAGCCAATGTCACTATCCCAATGATTGAAATCAAAAAAACATGTGGAAAAAAACTATAAAAGGAATTATGTTTTTTTTGCTTCGGGTTGTTCGGGTATATTATATGTTGGTTGATAATTCCATCTATATTATAGTTATATTCACCACATGGTGTTCCTGAAAATTGCTATCTCCCCGCGCTTTTGCATACCCTAAAGACACACATCCATATCAGCAGCTGTCATTGAGATTCCTGAAATCTTATGTGGGTTTTAGGACGACTCCCATATGGGATAATGGAAAAATGGTATCTTGACCCACACCTGGTCCAGCAAACACCACATATCACTTAGGTACCCGAAATTACGCTTTTCTTCCTATTGTTTGTTCAGTCAGCTCTAAAAGAAAAAGGTATCACAATCTAAAGCAGAAGCATTCCCGTTTCGCATTACGTTTTCGGAGCCAAGAGGGAGACGTGGCGTGTTTCGCCATGGGTGTTTTGTTGGGGAATTGTTGCAGCAAAACATGTGGCTTGGATAGTGGGGATATACTGGGGGTGGGCTCTATTGATGAAACATGGCACTGGAAAGAAACAAACAAGATGTGAATTGCAATTGGTCGGAACATGTGCTTTGCAGCAGTCTATACATGATATAAGTTGGGACTTGTTCGTTGCATAATCAATGAAACCATCATCCCTCAATCACAATAAACAGACGCAGCGAACAAACATCCAGTTTTTTTTCTCTCCGGTGACATGGCAATGGAAAATCCACCAATGATAGATCTGGGTAAATTATAATATTTCACTAACCTGAATCTTGCGGCCATTTGGGGATGATTTCCCTAAAATAAACCATGATTCCAGGGTTCGGGAGACCAGTGAGGTCGTGATCAAATTTACCCAGATAAATAAATATATATATATATATGTGTATATATACATATTTCTGAGTCTAGTATAAACTTACATGGTAACATGGCAATGGAAAATCCACCAATGATAGATGAATTTCCCTTTCAGCCTCTATTTACGTACCAGGGATTTCCCAGCCAGCCACGTGCTTCACATGATCCTACCGAGGCTACGTCCATGTCACATCATTTCACCGTGCCGAACTGGACCCCTGGAGATTTTTCCCCTGGGGCCGACTCGAAAAAAACGAACTGGAGATTACCCGGCCTGGTAAACGTTTACATAACGAATTGGAAAATCCATGAAAATCCACCCATGCTGGCCCATGCTATTTAGCTGGGGAAATCAACTATTTCGACTGGGCCATTTTCAATAGCAAACTGTTTGTTTACCAGAGATTAATGGCTGGTTGGTGGTTTCAACCCCTCTGAAAAATATGAAAGTCAGTTGGGATGATTATTCCCAATCTATGGAAAGTCATAAAAGTCATGTTCCAAACCACCAACCATACGGAGATTGAGATGGGGAGTAACCCCAAAAATCTGCCGCCCTTGCTCTGCCAGGATCTGCCGGGCCTCTGGCAGCCCGAGCAGCTCCCGGCCGCGCTGGGCCATCAGAAGAAGCTGCTCCACTTCGCGCAGAGTCCAGACCTGAAATGCCAAGGAAGGCCATGGAATCCCTGGTTTTCACATCAAAATGGCTGGAATTTTCATGAAATTATGGATGTGAATAAGCCCCCAACATACTGTATGTTTTTTCCGAACATCTTAAAACCGTCTTTTGGCGTTTCCACCTTTTATCTACTAGGCAAAATCATCTGAAGATTGAAATATTTGAAATTGTGATTTTCTTTTTGCACAGCTGAACTGGAAAGAAATTGAAATGATGCTTCTTTCAACATGCAGTTGTACCACCGAAGCTGTATGGTCCAAGCCAAATTGGAAAATCACAACTAATTTGGGGGCGAAGCAACAGCTAATTGGATCTAATTTGTGTTTCAGCCAAAGAAATTAGAGAATTTCAATCCTATAGTTTCCTGTTTCTACAAATGAGTGGTTCAATCCCATGATTGGTACCCATAGAAATCCTGAAACCACGGATTGAAAAATCTGAAGACTTTCCATCCGTTCCCGTTCCCTGTATTCACTGGCGATTTCAGTTGTTTCAGAGTCCTACAATAATCATGGCCAATCTTAGATACCCTGCAGCAAATTAACAAACAAATTACAGTTGTGGCCATTTGTCAGTTATAACTGGTTATAAGTGGGATTATACATTCTATAAATGGGGTTATAAGTACTTATAATTGGTAAAGGGCTATAACTGTAGCTGGTGAATAGATAATCCCATCGACACCCAAAACTAAAGGATTAAACTACCCATCTAAGATTGACCTAGAAAAAATGGCACCTGCTAATTTTTCAGGTACAGTGTCTACCTGGGTTGCAGGAGATGGTTTGGCAGCTGCCATCTATTGATTGTGGTAGTTCTTCCTCTAATATCAGCAAGGGATTATGACTATATAATCTTAACAATTTGAATATATTTTAATAGTATTAGATACAATCCAAAAAATAAACCTAATTTTATAGAGTATTAAACTCTCCAACCAAGGTTTACCATGGTCCTGAGAAGTCTTGGCGACTCTTTGAGCGGTTGATTCCTCATTTCCAGATTTTTTGACACGTTTCAACCTGTTTGCCGGTTATTTTCCCCCCGTTTTGAAACATGTGTTTTCAACTGTTTGAATTTGAAACCATCAAATGTCCAGATTTCGCCAACATTCTCAGACAACACCACTGTTGAACTAAAATCTCATCAAAATCACATGTTTTGCAGAACCAATCCTCTTTTTGGGGGGGCAAAAAACCCGTTTGCAGCAGCTTCAAATCGTAACAGTTTTCAATGCCCATGGCCATCTCAATAGGAAACTGGATTCATCAGCAAATTGGGGTGGATCCACTTAGATGGGCCATGGAGTTAGTTATATAACTAATTAGTAGCCATGGATTACTTCATTGGGATATAATTAGGGGGTAACATATCCCCAGTTACTAACCATAAATCGCGTTTTTCCCACCCATCTAAGTACCAATATTTGGGATTATAATATAATGAATTATATTTGGTCAAGATTTTGATAATGGATTTTTTCATGATTAACTGTACCAATATATGTTATATCCCCAGTTACCATAAATCGCGTTTTTCCCATGGCCCATCTAAGCATGGGTGTCCCATGAATTTTCCGTAGCAAAATCACCAAACCTGGTGGACCTGGCCCAGATTTCGCCGGTGGCCGGGGTCCGGACGTCCCGCGTCAAGCGCACGGGACAACCGCCCAGCTCGCCCTCCACCTTGGCGCCCAGGAAGACGCCGGCCACCAAAGGTGAAGAACCTTTGTGCGATCCGCTTGGATGGCTATTGGATGGGTAAGGTTAAGCAATTCATGGGTTTTAGTAATTAATTCACGGAATGGAATATAGGGAATATGATAAAGGATAATACAAGAATAAAAACGAATTGGTGGTATTTTTTCTGGATATATGTGGATTAATTATTGATAATTATCATAATTATGATAATTAGTCATTCAATCATGCACTGGCAATGGTGATAAAATATTGAAACATAGATTTTGATACAAACAATATAAAGATTCCTTTTACCAATATATCCAAATGTTTAAGAAAATCAGATATATGTTGATTAATGGACATATTATGGATTATTTTGGATATATATATATATATATTTTTTGAATTATGATGATTGATTAATTCAATTGATATATGGATGTGTTTCCGACCCAAATGACTATTTTTATTTTTACATTTTAACATCAAACGGTTAACAATAGTATGAAGTGCTAATCAACATTTTTACATATTTTTACCTCGGGTGAACTAAGCTACTTAGTAAGTAGGATAATCCATCAAGTACGGTTAGCAGGTGTTAAGCTTACGGATGTAATAATGGTTGCAATACAGATTATAAGAATAGGCAAATGGGCACTCGTGAGTTTGTATCTATCTTTACTGTAATGTTTGATCATTGGCACAATAACGACAATAACTGCAACAATATCAAACATGGCAGTGATGACAACAGGTATCAATGGGAATAATGGGGTGAAAAATGCTGGGTGTATTCTATATGAATTGAATCAGAGAATAAATTGGTAATACCATGGTGCAAGAGCATCATGGTATTCCCATATTGTTGATGATGGTTTTGGTAATGGCAAAAACCTTAGATTCGTAGCACTTGGCATTTAGCAATGGCATACGAATGCAGATGGGTTCCAAAAGGTATGTAATAGTATTGATGGGCAGTGGTGAATCACGTCTCTTACAGCCACAATTGAAATTATCATAGCCATCGGAAATTAAACGTGGTTGTTTGTGGGCATTAAACAAATGTTTCCAACAACATGTGTATATATATATGAATATATTCAGTATTATTCAATTATACATATACGCATCCATATCACATATTCATACATATAAAGTGATCATCCGCCACCAAAGTAAACCCCACACGAGTACCACATTAAAAGAAACTGCTATATATTAATTTTTTTTGCCTGGGTATTCGTCCGAAATTGACAAGTGATTCTCCACATTTTGCTTCGAACAGGGTTTTTTTCCCCCCAAATCAGGCATTGGCGCAAATGCCACTGCAACACCCACTTCAACAATGGTTTCTCCTCAATTTTCCATATTTTTCCCAAATTTGACGTGTCATAATTTGTGGTCTACATCTCCATCCACCCACCAGCCCTCGGATTTGCTTCGTTTGCCCAAGCGGCTGGAGGCGCAACAGGAGCGCCAGCAGGTGCCAACACAAGCCTTTGAGGCATCGCAGCAGCTGGGCAGCTCCATAGACACCTCCGTGAAGTCAGGGCAACACAACACTTCGGGAATGCCTGTACTAAAATACATGCTAAATGCGACTTGTCTATATACGTTTCTATCTTTTTGGAGATTCTATGTATGTACATACCATATAAACCCTATACACCATCAAAGTACAAAACTAATGTACTAAACTATACTGTATGTACTATTTGTATACACTATTAATAAACCATATTCAAATATAATCACTATCAAAATACACATACCAGGGGCCTTGGGTTTGGCTGTCCCAAAGCCTCACTTTTGGAAGCTTGGCTGCGGCGTTTGGAGCTTGTTTCTTGAGACTTCAGAAAGCAACGTTAGTCAGTACCAGCAGCAGGTCCGCGGATGTGCTTGAGGACTATGGTATTTGGCTGTCGCGAAGCCTGCCCTTTGGAAGCTCTGCTGCTACCTATATGAAGGGAAAGGTATGTCCGGAGTATAGTACAACACGGTGAACTGAACCAAAACCAAACCGAAATTCTCCAATCTCTTTCGAACTGCCAGACCCCTGGGCGGCAGGGGGTGGTAGCCCTTTACAAGTTGTATATGGGTTTTCCTAAAATAAAGGTACCCCAAAATGGATGGCTATAATGGAACATCCATCGGTAAATGGATGATTGGGGGTACCCCTATTTTAGGAAACCACCATATGTATACAATATAGCGATTCATACTATCGAAGTTTCGCAAAACTTTCGCGAGGGTTCCCAAAATAACATGAACAACTTTCAGATTGATTACCATATAGTGTATATACGCATTATTATATAATGTTAGCTCCTGATTAGTAGCTAGGGTCGCTATTGTGGCAATTTTTCCAAATTATTCTGAAACTCATGTATTGTTTGGAGGGTTCGCTTTTGTGGCAAAACAAAATTGGGAGAGCACTTAAAAAAAAAAGTAATTGCTGAGAGGCATTTTTCTCAAAAACGCTGTAGCTCAGTCAAGTTTTTGCTCATCTCTCTATCTGAGCCTGCAAATGCATCTCTATCTGAGTAGGTTTGTTTGCTGGGCTCACTATTGCAGCAAGCTGTGCCAGAGCAGCCCCTGGAAGCCCAGAAGGGAAGCAAGCCTTTTCCAAAGGCAATTGCCAAATTCAAACTCCAAGCCTTTCCCAAAAGAACCAATCCCTTATTAAACCCTTATTAAAGAACAGCTTTTCCACAATTTTTCAAGGCCCTGGACCAGGAGAGGCTCCATTTCACTTTAGTAGGTTTGTTTGCTGGGTTCACTATTGCAGCAAGCTGTGCCAGAGCAGCCCCTGGAAGCCCAGAAGAGAAGCAAGCCTTTTCCAAAGGCAATTGCCAAATTCAAACTCCAAGCCTTTCCCAAAGGAGCCAATCCCTTATTAAACCCTTATTAAAGAACAGCTTTTCCACAATTTTCCAAGGCCCTGGACCAGGAGAGGCTCCATTTCACTTTAGTAGGTTTGTTTGCTGGGTTCACTATTGCAGCAAGCTGTGCCAGAGCAGCCCCTGGAAGCCCAGAAGGGAAGCAAGCCTTTTCCAAAATTGCCAAATTCAAACTCCAAGCCTTTCCCAAAGGAGCCAATCCCTTATTAAACCCTTATTAAAGAACAGCTTTTCCACAATTTTCCAAGGCCCTGGACCAGGAGAGGCTCCATTTCACTTTAGTAGGTTTGTTTGCTGGGTTCACTATTGCAGCAAGCTGTGCCAGAGCAGCCCCTGGAAGCCCAGAAGAGAAGCAAGCCTTTTCCAAAGGCAATTGCCAAATTCAAACTCCAAGCCTTTCCCAAAGGAGCCAATCCCTTATTAAACCCTTATTAAAGAACAGCTTTTCCACAATTTCCCAAGGCCCTGGACCAGGAGAGGCTCCATTTCACTTTAGTAGGTTTGTTTGCTGGGTTCACTATTGCAGCAAGCTGTGCCAGAGCAGCCCCTGGAAGCCCAGAAGAGAAGCAAGCCTTTTCCAAAGGCAATTGCCAAATTCAAACTCCAAGCCTTTCCCAAAGGAGCCAATCCCTTATTAAACCCTTATTAAAGAACAGCTTTTCCACAATTTTCCAAGGCCCTGGACCAGGAGAGGCTCCATTTCACTTTAGTAGGTTTGTTTGCTGGGTTCACTATTGCAGCAAGCTGTGCCAGAGCAGCCCCTGGAAGCCCAGAAGAGAAGCAAGCCTTTTCCAAAGGCAATTGCCAAATTCAAACTCCAAGCCTTTCCCAAAGGAGCCAATCCCTTATTAAACCCTTATTAAAGAACAGCTTTTCCACAATTTCCCAAGGCCCTGGACCAGGAGAGGCTCCATTTCACTTTAGTAGGTTTGTTTGCTGGGTTCACTATTGCAGCAAGCTCTGCCAGAGCAGCTCCTGGAAGCCCAGAAGAGAAGCAAGCCTTTTCCAAAGGCAATTGCCAAATTCAAACTCCAAGCCTTTCCCAAAGCCAATCCCTTATTAAACCCTTACTACAAGTACTACAAGCTACAAGTACTACAAATACTACAAGTACTACAAGTACTACAAGTACTACAAGTACTACAAGTACTACAAGTACTACAAGTACTACAAGTACAACAAGTACTACAAGTCCTACATGTACTACATGTACTACAAGTACTACAAGTACTACAAGTACTCCAAGTACTACATGTACTACAAGTACTACAAGTACTACAAGCACTACAAGTAATACAAACTACAAGTACTACAAGTACTACAAGTACTACAAGTACTACAAGTACTACAAGTACTACAAGTACTACAAGTACTACAAGTACTACAAGCAAGTACTACAAGTACTACAAGTACTACAAGTACTACAAGTACTACAAGTACTACTACAAGTACAAGCACTACAAGCACTACAAGCACTACAAGTACTTACTACAAGTACTACAAGTACTACAAGTACTACAAGTACTACAAGTACTACAAGTACTACAAGTACTACAAGTACTACAAGTACTACAAGTACTACAAGTACTACAAGTACTACATGTACTACTAGTACTACAAGTACTACAAGTACTACAAGTTCTACAAGTACTACAAGTACCATAACTTCATCGGCAAAAAAAACAATAGCAATTAGATTTCAATTGTAGCCAATTGAAATCCTTACTTAATTGAGGATATGTTTTTCTTTTGGGAAGAATTTTTTTGACTTTTTACTTTAAAGAGAGTCCAGATATAGTTTAGGGGAGGGGGGGGCCACACACTAATCAGGAACCAACATTATGATAGATATATATGATATATATATATATGATATATATATATATGATATATATATATATATGATATATATATATAGATATATATATATATATTACATAAGACACCCTATCCCAGCCACGCCTTGTCGCTGCTCGAGATGGGCACCGCCTCACTGCGGCGGCACAGGCCGCTGCGGCCGCCCGAGTTGGGCTCGGAGTCCACGTGCTCCTTGTAGACACGCCTCGGTGCCCAAGAAAGGGCAGGGCGGATTCACTTGTCAAAAAGATAGAAGTTTGTAGAGTCCTACTAGAAGAGTGATAGTTTGAACCGTTTCTATCTTTTTGGGGATTATACCTCTGGGATCCTCTGGGTAAGTTAGAAAAAAATCACGTTCAACAAACGATCAAGGATAGTTAAATAACAAGAGCTTCGGATAATTATGCAAATTGAAGAGTTAACCCTATGTCCTTGGATCTTTTTACCGGGATTCCTTACGGTTTTGAAGATTTTGGTCGTTATAGGTTATATGATTGAACTACTGCAGGTAAAACAACTGTCATCTATGAATTGTGTGTGTTTCTCAGTCTTTTTTCGTACATGGTATATGTTCTTGATATATTCATTTTGATGTTTTTAAAATTGTTTCGAAATGACAGGTTGTAGATCTGTATCAGCATGTATGTTGCTATAATTTTCTCAGCGGCATTTCATTTGTAAAGTGGTGCGTCAAACTTAGTAATGCATAAAAAAAACATTCAGAATCGATGGGTTTACATGGTAGGCAGGCTTGGGTGTTGGTTTATACAAGGTGTCTAGGGTATAGTATTGATGATTTCGGTTGGTATTTAGCATTCTCGGAAGATTGGGAATTACCGGAAATTTCCCCATCCACCAGGCCTTGGAATTCAACTCTGCGGGATGGATAGCAAATTGTTCTCAACTTCGGAGATATCGGCCAAAAGCGTTGTCTTTTTGAATTAACATCGGGAAAAAGTAGCACACCCACCAGGGTCAGAAATTCTTCATCGAAGACCTAGGCTGATGAATTCCAACCCATCATTTTCTTTGTGAAGAAGAGTTTTACTTACTGTATCTTAGTTTTTTTGAAAAGGTGTGTTTTTCCCAGCGCCTGAGTGTAGGGTTCTTCTAAAAAAAGGCGCTGAGATAATACATCTTCACCTCCTACATCTGCGCATCTTAATCTGGACATCTTACATCTGGACATCTTATGCCTGCACGTCTTACATCTGCACATCTTGCATCTGCACAATTTACATCTGCATATCTTACATCTGCACATTTTGCGTCTGCAGATCTTACACCTGCTCATCTTACGTCTGCAGACATCTTACGTCTGCAGATCTTCCATCTTCAGATCTTACATCTGCAGATCTTACAACTTCACATGTTACATCTTCAGATCTTACAACTTCACATCTTACGTCTGCAGATCTTATATACATCTTCAGATCTTGCATTCTCTTTTCTCTCTCCCTCTGTCTCTCATTCTCTCGCTCTCTCTCTCTCTCTCTTCTCTCTTCTCTCGTCTGCTAATTTTTATTTTCTGTGAAGGCGGCGGGGTGGCCACGAGCGATGAACATGTGACAGTTACGAACAAAATGAGGTTCGATCGTCAAAAACTGCGGCAGCATTGCGATTTTGAGCTGCCCCGCAGCGGGTTCCCCAGCATAACATGACATTTTGATAGTAGAAAACTGGGGCGTCTGTCTGTAAAAAAACATGTGCATAGCAGCTTCTGTGTGTGAAAGCGTCTGTGTGTAAAAGCTTCAGTGTGTAATAAAAGTGTCTGTGTGTAAAAGAATTTGTGTGCAAAAGTGTCTGTGCGTTTCAAGGTTTGATTTAGGGTTTTCTATAAGGTCTCAAAAAGGATATAAACAGGAGAGAATAAAGCAAAAGAAAAAGAACAGCAAAGAGACAGCAAAGAAACGAAGCAGAGCAGCAGGAAGAAGCAGAGCAGCAAGGATGCATGAGTGCAGAAAAGGGAAAAGTAGAAGTAGAAAGGCGCAGAAGCAGAGGAGCAGAAAAGCAGAGAAGCAGAAAAGAGAGAATCAAGAAAAGCATAGAAGCAGAAAAGCAAAGAAGCAGGAAAAGCAGAGAAGCAGGAAAAGCAGGAAAAACAGGAGAAGCGGAGATGCCACAGCACATCTCAGACCACACATGAACCCTGTTGCCTATGCGTTATCATTTTCACATAGGATAAGAAAAATACATACAGTACTTGGATGATCTGTATCTACTATCGGTGTTTCTGAACTTGGCTGGTGCAACATTGCTCAACACACAGAGGTGTTTTTCTATGGAAGACATGAATAACTAGCAGTTCTATCCGTAGATATCTTTGGCATGTTCACTGCATCTTAGCAAAGTCAGAATCCATCTGGCCCACCAAGAAATCACAAAGGTGAGCCATCAACTGGTCCTGCAACTACAGGCCATCGCCTGAAACGACCAAGAGCCCATAGCCATCATCTTCCAGAGGTGCTATAGTGCGCACGGAGGCAACTAGTGGAGGTGGGGCTGGTAGTGCGGCTGTAGTATTAGGTGTGGTGCAGGGCTTGGTGCAGCTGTCTCAGACCACCAGCCTCTGAGACAGCGGCTGGTGGTCTGAGACAGCTGCAACAGCAGCACTAGCTGCACCACATGCTGGGGCAGCCGGGGCTGCTGGTGCAGCTGTCTCAGAGGCAGGTGGTGCAGCCCTGGCCTTGGCACAGGATGGATATAGTGGTTAGAAAGCCGTGCTCCACTGACAATGCGGGTTTGTGCCAGCGGGGGGAAAACCGCGCCAGTAGTCGTGCACGTTTTTGCAAACACGCATATGTTACTGGGTCGGGTGGGGTGGGGTGTGTGAAAGTTCATGTTAACTTGCGACACATGCACATGCTACGTCACGTCTTTGGTTGGGGGGGTGGGGTGTGTTAACGTTCATGTTAACTTGCGTCACATGCACATGCTATGTCACGTCTTGGGTTGGGGGGGTGGGGTGTGTTAATGTTCATGTTAAATTGCCTCACATGCACATGCTACGTCACGTCTTGGGTTGGGGGGTGGGGTATGTTAACGTTCATGTTAACTTGCGTCACATGCACATGCTACGTCACGTCTTGGGTTGGGGGGGGGGGGTGTGTTAACGTTCATGTTAACTTGCGACACATGCACATGCTACGTCACGTCTTGGGTTGGGTGGGGTGGGGTGTGTTAACGTTCTTGTTAACTTGCGTCACATGGACGTGCTACGTCACGTCTGCATTTCCCCTTGCTGGCATCATAGTTGTAGGATGCGCACAGATGTTGATACAGATGTAAAACAGGAACACTACCTGCCTTGTAACCTGTCGACACTAAGCTTCAGGTCGTGATTTGCTTTTTATTTTATACAATCAGAGCGCTATGTTTCATAAAATCGGCCATACCATGTAGTCTTGCGACCAGAGTCAACCGCCATGTAAACCCAAAACTGATGCGAAACATCAGGGTGTGGCAATGGCGTTGGATGAACTCCAAATCAAAAAACTTTTCGGAGGTCACTGGACGCTCTTTGAAGAAGCGCATGGCGATGTGAGAGGAGGAAAACATCGCGCACGTTTTCAAGAGCAAATTCCCTGTACATTACAGGACATCACCAAAAATGCACTTCAAATTCCCGGGGAATTTTCAGCCTATTTTGAGGAATGAATCAATAGTTTCGCTACTGGCGAAAACATTTTTTTCAAAACGCTCACAACCGCTGGCGCGGTTTTCCCCCCGACGGGAAGTTTTTGTATCCGATCTTTGTCAGTACATTGCCCACTTTTTGACAAGTGATCAGTTGAAAGATGTAACTACTGCATCGAATCGCAGTTGAGTCTTGCAATGACACCAAAGTTGATATCGCAGTGTGCCAATCCATTCTACCACAGTGATCATTTGAAAGGATGTTCATCATCATTCATTCATTCATTCCTTCATTCCTTCCTTCCTTCCTTCATTCCTTCAATCAATCAATCAATCAATCAACCAATCATTCATTCATTCATTCATTCATTCATCATCATCAAGATCAAGTCCATCATCCATAATCCATCATCCAAGTCTGATGAGCATGCTGCTGATTGCATCATTGAGGATCCTTTCAGTCTTCCAAGTTCTCATTTGAATATGGGTTAAGAATAGTTTTAGGATTGTTTCGAAAAGGTTTGGGATATTTGTTTGGATTTCTTTCCTGGTACCATTTGCCTTGAATTGCCACATTTTGGAACTAGAACTAGAACCTGTCATTTTGCACGGAATTTGCTATATGTTTGGCACTCCAATCTCTCATTTTGCATGGTACTTGCTCCATGTTGGTAGTTCGAACGTTGATTCATTGATGTGGGTTTCTTTCGGGATCTTTAGGGTGTCATTAAGGGTATCTTTAGGGTTTCATTTCGGATTTCTTTAGGGTTTCATTTGCGGTTTCTTTTGGGTTTCATTTAGGGTGTCATTTTGGGCTTCTTTAGGGTGTCAATTAGGGTCTCTTTAGGGTTTCATTTAGGGTATCTTTAGGGTATCTTCAAGGTTTCATTCAGGGTTAGGGGTTCTTTATGTTTCTTTAGGGTTTCATTTAGATTCATTTAGGGTTTCATTTCGGGTTTCTTTAAGGTGTCATTTAGGATATCTTTAGTTTTTCATTTAGGGTTTCTTTAGGGTGTTATTTACGATTTCTTTGGGGTTTCGTTTAGGGTTTCTTTAGGGTTGAATGTAGAGTTTCATTTAGGGTTCCATTTAGGGTTTCATGTAGGGTTTTATGTAGGGTTTCATTTAGGGTTTCATTCAAGGTTTCTTCAGTGTGTCATTTAGGGTTTCTTTAGGATGTCATTTAAGGTATCTTTAGTATGTCTTTGGGGTTTTAATTCGGGTTTCTCTAGGTGTTCATTTAGGGTTTCTTTAGCGTGTCATTTATCTTTAGGGTTTCATTGAGGGCTTCATGTAGGGTTTCTTATCAGGGTGTCTTTGGGTTTCATCCAGGGTTTCATTAAGGATACAAACAGCAGAGAATAAAGCAAAACAAAAAGAAAAGCAAAGAGACAGTGAAGGAAGGAAGCAGAGAAGCAAAGGAGCAGGAAGAAGTAGAGCAGCAAAAACGCATGACTGCGGAAAAACAAGTAGAAGTAGAAAAGGCACAGAAGCAAAAAGGCAGAAAAGCAGGAAAAGCAAAAAGCGGAAAAGCAGAAGCAAACCAGATAGAAGCAAGAAAAGCAGAAAAACACAGAAGCAGGAAAAGCAAAAAACGGAAAAACAAAAAAGCGAAAAAGAGGAAAAGCAGGAAAAACAAAGAAGTAGAAACAGCAGAAAAGCAGGAATCCTGAAAAACCTAAATTTTTAAACATATACAGTAGAATAAATAACAATCCATTTTCTTTTGGTAAGATCCCATCAAAAGTCATTAAACCAGCATTTTGGCTTTGAAATCCACAAAACAAATCCCATGAAATTCCATGGAAACCCAAGTAAATTCCATGAAAATCCCGTGAACATCCATTAGAATCCCATTAAAAACACCCATGAAATCACCTCTTTTCCACCTGACTTTCGCCCTTTGTCCCCTCAACTTCCCTCAACTTTCCGTCCAACGCCCAGGCTCAGATCCTTCAAGCGCGCCGCAGGGATCTTGCTCCGCCGGAGGAAGCAATAGTCCCAAGTGCCCACCTCCGTCATTGGAATTTTTTATGGGATTTTTCATGGGATTTTAAGGGAAGATTGGGTTGTCCCTCCCAGGTTTTAAGGGAACATTGAAACCGGTGAGACCTCAGAAAAGTATACAAAAGTTGACTTCTTGGAGGATCAATGATGATTGATTTGGGCGAATTTGTAGCTTTATGGAGATATAATGAGGGACAAAACCGCCATTTTATGGGGATATCGTGGGGATACAGTGAGGAATTCATCGTGGTGCCCCAGGTCGTTAGCTAAGTTGGTGAACATAACTCCAATAACCAAGGTTTATGGCTTGAAACTCGGGGGAAAACCACCTGGAAGAACATGGGGAAAAAAGCGGCTGGAGGAACCATTCAACATGGATTTTTATTTTTATTTTTCATTTTGCTGTCATATGTTATATGTTTAAATACAACCTTCCATTTTTTGGGGTGCCAAATATGTTTTTTTTCGCACCACCCGTGAGGAGCTCAGCAATGATAGCGAACGACGACGGATCCACAGGGACGAGGACTGGTGATGGCTTCCACAATTCGTTGCTGGAGTCACTACCAGGCGTGTTTCCCAGACACCTTGCTAAAAAAAATATGTATGTTTTTTCTGTTGTAAAATATGATGGTTTTTTCTATCGTATTTTTTGTTTTCGAAACTCCAAAAATGTCATTGGGCCCAGCGAAAATCCAAAACCATGATGATCAAACAACGAGTCATGGAGGTTTCCAAGGCATTGGATCATGAAGACTGGAGATCCACTAAGAAACCACCACAGGAAACACGGCGTTTCGCTGAAATTGGTCAGCTGTCGGAAGACGACCATCTGCTTGGTGCTTGGATTTACGAAAGGGATTTTTATTCCCCTCTGGTTATGACTAACATAGCCATGGTATAGATGGCCCTAATCGTGATATGATATGATATGGTATGACATTGGTATATCTGAACATGAAGTGGAGTATACCCCGCACCTGACCTGATACGCCTGTTAGGTGAATCCCCCTTCTGAACCAACCGGGTTATGCCATGGGATAGAGATAAGGATGATTACAATAGATTTCGATGCGAATAGAATCATGATAAACTGTGTGGATGTTCGTGTTCCAAGAAGTTACTTCCTATGTTTGTTTTTTTCTTAACCCCCTTTGACTTTCCCCAGTTTTCCCATGGTTTTCCAGGTGGTGAAGCTGCCGGCTGCCAGAACGCAGCCCAGGGGCAACATCTGCCACAGCCGGGACGCGAAGATGGCAGAGTTCACCATTTTGGGCATTTGTTTTTTGATTTCTGTTTCCCTGCTTCTCTGCTTCTCCGCTTTTCTGCTTTTCCAGTTTCTCTGCTTTTCTGATTCTCTGATTTTCCCTCCTTTTTTGTTTCTCATACTGCAGATAATCCTTAAGAAACATCATGTAAATAAACCCTAAATCAACCATAAATAAACCCCAAACCAACCAAAGAAACACTAAAGCAACTCTAAGTAAATCGTAAACACTCCCTAAATGAATTTGAAACTAATCCTAAATAAACCTTGCACCAGCCCTAAAACCAGACCTAAATAAATCTTAAGTCTTAAATTGACGCTAAACACACCTTAAACCAATCCTGAATAGGTCCTTCACCCACTCTAGATAGATCCTAAACCAAGCCTGGATAAACCTAAACACACCCTAAACCAGCCCCAAATAGATGCTCACCCAAGCCTAAATAAACCGTAAAAGATTCCTAAATATGTTTAAACCAGGCCTAAATAGATCCTAAACCAACCCTCAACAAACCTTAAACCAACCCTAAACAGGTCCTAAACCAACCATAAATAGGTCTTAACCCAAGCCTAAATAAAACCTAAAACAAACCCTAAAAAGATCTTAAACTAACCCAAGAAGCTAAATCTAGCCTAACTCTAAAACCAACCCTCAAAAAAACTTAAACAAACAAAACCCCTAAACTAACCCTAAAACCAACCCTAAATGAACCCTAGTTGCAAAACACCATGTTACATGAACAGTTCGAACTCAAAAATGCTGCAAATACCGTTGAAACAGCAGCTTCCAGCTCCAAAATGTTACAAATTCCACCAACATGTTGCAAATTCTATGGAAAATGAGAGGTTTCAACTCCAAACTGTTGCAAAGACAGTTGAAATGGCAGCTTCCAGCTCCAAAATGCTGCAGCTGGCAAGGAAAACGTGCAGAAAAAACGGATCCAATTCCGGAGCCTCTGGAAAAATGCTGGATTTCTCCAATGATTTCTCCAAGAACAAACTGGTGAGATCCATGGGATTTCCCATGGTGATTTCCAGATGAGAAGAGTTCCCTTTTTTGAGGATGGTTTATGATTGTATAATGTTGTATATCTATTGTACAAAATATCTATTGTATATCTGTTGTATATCTATTATGATTTTGATATTTTGTATCTATTGTATATCTAGTCTAGTCATGGATTTCAAAAGCAACAACATATCAAAAATATCACTGCAGGGCCTCCAGCTTGTCAAATGCTTCGTTTAGTTCGATGATATCTCAACAATGGCGACTATCCATATAGCCATGTTGCATTACCATATGAATTATAGATTCTTTATAATGAACTAATTATATGTTTGCACCCCTGATCGTTTTACATGGAAACCTTAATTTGTCTGGGGTCTGAAAGATGTTTTTTTCAGCACTTAAGGATATGGCCATATATGGCCCATGAATATGGCTTCCATGTTGGTCGGCGTGGCTTTTTTTGGACGATCCCCAAATGCCAAGTTGATGCCACCGATGCAATAGTGCCAAAATTCATCGGTGCTGGAGGAATCAAAGGGGCACTTTTTTCAAATGGCTATGGATCAATACCTATGAAAATACCATTTGTTAGGGGGATGAACATCCATGAATCCCAGCTATTTTGATGTGAACAGAAGGGGGATAGGGTTTTGACCCATCCCCAAATCAGCTTTTGTGCACCAAGGTATTTGGAGATATTTGGAGATTCAAGCCAGTGATTGATGGGACGAGCATCCGAATGTACCAAACTCTGCAGTAAAAAAATTGCGAAGGCTCACTGCGGCCACCTCAAAAATATCCCAAACTTGCAACTCTCGCCACTTAGGAATAATGATGTTGCAAGTTTCGCAGCATTCCTATGATTGGTTCATCGATGTTCATCATATTTCCCATGAAGTCGGCAATTTTCCGGAAGGAGTCCCCCAGTTATGTTTGTTGGTTTATAACCCCATCTAAGTAATTCTAAGTATAGATGAATCTCCACCATAATCCAGTCCTTAGCCCAGTTATAAACCACCTTTTCAGTAGGTTAGGCCTGTCATCATCTTATTTCCCCTTGAAATTGCATGTTTTTTTTTTTCCCAGGAAATCATCACCATTTTTCCATGAACATGCCAATAGTGTTCATCCATTTTGCGTTTGGAGATCTCCATGTGTCCATGATGTTTCCTCACGAAAACTCCAATTTTCCCGGTAAACATGTCCATATCAATTATCCTCATCCATATTATCGCCTAGTGAAATATCCAATTGTTCCTAGGAAAATCTTCATTTGTTCCCTTTGTTTCCCACAGTTATGGCCATTTATCAGTTATAACTGGTTATAACTGGTTATTTCAGTGGGATGAGATACATTCTATAAATGGGGTGACTTGTTAGTACTTATAACTGGTATGACTCGGGCCATAACTGCATGAAACCCATCCATTGTTCGAGGTCATGAGATGTCGCGTTCGAATCCTTGCGCTTGGACCAAGAAGTGGCACTGTCCCGCCTGGCAGGTGCGAGTGAACCTTTTGGGTGATGTCCGGCACCTGATTTAACGATGAAGAAATCGGGACAATATCTTTACAATATATTATATTATACATATACACTACATCATATATACATGATTATATATAATTATATATAATTATCATATATTAAGCACATTAAAGATAGAAAAGTCATGAACAGATTATAGGCTATAGACTACAGCAATATTTTAAGTAAAATTGTACTTTTCGATCTTGTTGGCTTTGACATCTCACTGCGATGTATGAGGAATCATCCTCAAAAAATCGAACTCTTTATTTCCTGGTGAATTGGTAGATGCTTTTCCATATATGACAATGTATACTGATTGGTGATTTGGGACATTTTTCTACATTTTAATTTTTCCATAAATTGGGAATGGAATGTCATCATCCCAACTGACTTTCACTCCATGATTTTTCAGAGGGGTAGGGCGTACCAACCACCAAGCAGCATATGTGCATTTGTACACATACCTGGGCGGTGGGTTCTTCGTTTTGATGGCTAGAACCTGGAGGAAAAAAGTCAGGGGCCGTTGGTGGATTTGTTCGGGGGATGGGACTAGCCTTTCATCCTTTAAAACATCTGGTAAACATACAAAAAGCTATTTGAAATCGTGATTTATAGTGGATTTACCCATGAAAAATTGGAAAAATGGTGATTTTCCATAGCTATGTTGGTTTACCAGAGGGTACCTTCTGGTAAACATACAAAAAAAAAACTATGGAAATCACCCTTTTCAATAGGTAAATCAAATAGAAATGGGCCATGTTCTAGAGCTATGTCAGATTACCGGAGGGTATATATTCGGAGTCCCTATATTGCCATGGCAAAACGCCCCAGTAGCCAGACGTTTATGTCATTTTTCATCATAGGGGTACCAATCCTCCAGGTTGAAGGAGGTGAAAGATTGCAGATAAAATGGCAATCGATCGTTGCAACCAACTCCATCCGGAATTTCTTCCGGCAGAGCTTTCAGCAACGCGACCGTTCTCGAAGATTTGTGGGACCTCCGGCCAGCTCTCATAGGCCTGAGTGGTCCTCAGTAAGGCTGCCCTCCACCTAGGCACTGTGTTGCCTGGGTTGGTCTGGCAGGAACGGGAAATTCGGATGTTGACCAAGGCGTTGGCCAGTGTCAAAATCTTTACTGCAGAGAGCTACAAGAACCAGTATGGACGAGACCCGATCACTGACGACAACCTCATAGCGGAAGACTGGAAGAGTCCCACGGGATCACAACACAGGGTGATGAGGATAGACAATGCAGCAGCGCACTTGGAGGATCAGTATATGTGCGCTTGTTGGGCTGCCCGTGTCCAAGTTTCAAAGTAGTTTGGGGAGAGTAATTTAGCAACAACTATCTGGGACAGAATCAATGATACCCTTTGGTAAACAAACATAGCTATTGAAAATGGCCATGTATAGTGGATTTACCCATAAAAAATGGTGATGTTCCATAGTTATGTAAACGTTTACCAGAGGGCAAATGTCACAGCAAGGCCAGATCAAAATGCTTTGTCACTAAACTTATGAGTCCAACAACACAGAGAATATAGGGTTTGACAAAAAAATAAAAAAACAAAAAAATAAAACAACCAGAGCAAACAAAAAAAACAAACTAGAAAACCAAAACCAAGGAAAAAACAAGAAAAAAACAAGAAACAAACAAAAAAAACAAAAAAAAATCAAAACCTGCATTTTCCGCAGTTTTGATTTTTTTTTGTTTTTTTTTTGTTTTTTTTCTTGTTTTTTTTGTTTCTTCCTGTCGATTTGTTTTTTTGGTGATTCTGTTTTTGTTTCTGTTTTTGTTTTTTTTTTGTTTTTTTATTTTTTTGCTAAAATCCACTTTCTCTGTTCTACACGGGGTCATAACACTAAACCTTTGGATGGTAAAAATCCTCACACATTCACAGAGAAACTCCAGCATTCTTGGGTCATTTCCTGCATCCATGGGTTTCATACTAAAACATGTCGACAGCAAAAAACAGTGAGGCTGTTGGTACAAGGCAAGGCCCCAAACGATAGCTCAGTTGACCTATAGCTTGGTTACCTACGATTTATGGGGGATAATATATATATATACATATATATATATACCAGTAGTACCCGCACGAGGGCCTGGCGGAAGTTGCCTTAAAGATATATATATATATTAGGAGCTGCGTTAGCCTCTTTAAGTGGTAGGTTCTGTTTTTAGCAGAAACCAATCACTAAAATGCAGAAACCATTCACTAAAATGCAGAAACCATTCACTAAAAGTGTAGAAACCAATCACTAAATTTGGGGTGTTTTTAGCAATTGTCATTGAATGCTATTGAATATAATATAATATAATATAATCATTAGAATTAGAACTATTTTTAACATTGATCATACAAGAGGTGTTTTGGGGCCAATGCCATGTTGATCACACGCAGGAAACCATTGAACATGAGCTGATCATGGCAAGTTAAACATGACCAGTTGGAACCCTATACACTGTTCAATGGTCAACGGGCCAGACTATGGACTATGGATTGGTTGGTTTGCTAATGATTTGAAACCACCTGATTCACATGATGGGTACCAATTGTAACATGAAGATTGTCATCAGAATCCAGACTCATTTCAATATTACAGATCCAAAACACTGTGAAACATGATTTTGATATCATATGCATATGACTATGATAACGATGATGATTTATGATTCATTCATTGTGTAATGTAATTCATGCCGGCATATGTGGACTCAGCTGACTTGGATTGATCATTAAGATTTTTATAACATCAACCATTCATGGCAATCCATGGTCATGATCACCAGCCGTGGTGAACAGGGGCCAGAACATCCAACAGCCACAGCTGGCTCAAAGAGGGACACTTCAATGTCCAGGAACATGGGGGAGTCAGAGTCATCTGACCAAAGCCATGGCTTGGTGAAAGCCTTGATTGGTATGGTCAGCGACGAGGAGATGTTAGATGAACCTCCGAACCTTTTCTTATTAAGTGGTACTCAGGAGCGACTTGAACCCAGAATAGGATGGCAGGGCCAGTGTGACAACAGCCAGTATTTCAGATTGTTTGTGGCCAATGTATTCAGTCCCAATCCACCAAAGGTGCCCATCAGACATGAGATGCTCCATATGCATCCGAAATCCACAACCCACGAAATCACACAGTTTGGGTTTTGTGCATTCTAAGGTCTCATGTGATACTCTTGGTTTACCAACACTTCCATCACATTACATTACCTACTTACTCGTCTCATGTGTTACCCTTGGTATACCAACACTTCCATTACATTACTTTACTAACTTATTGTATTGGAATAGTATTGGGACCAACCCGGCTATTCTTATGTAATAGTGCGTGAGTCAGACTTTAATCATGATCCAGCAAAGAAATCTTGAAACTTATTTTTTTCTACAGATACAGTCTACAGTTACATAATACATCATATGCCACATGCTCACTTTTCAGAGTTGTGGTCCTTGCTTGGGCCAGCCCAAGTATGTAAGTATGTTTGCTGCACACTGCATACTGCCACACGAGGTATGCAGGAGCCAGGGTCAGCCAAGCACACTATCTGTACTATAGCCCAAGATGGCCATTATCCAGGATCCATGAAATGGTTGCGCTATATCACCATCAAAACCTCATCATAGGCCATTGGAAACCGATTTTTGAAGGGGCCATCCAGATGTGTTCCTCTACCACTCCATCTCCATCCATTGAGCCGACTCAGGATCATGACAGAAGGGGTCGTGAGGGAACCCGAAAGTTTCAAGTGAGCCCAGTACTATGCCAGCAAGCTGGGCCTGTCTTCGATGGAGGGCAAGGTCGGCAACGTGAGGTCACATGTCTGAGATTGATAGGATCTACTAGGAATGTATGTGATTCCTGCCTCATGGTGAAACACAAACACTTTTGTGATCAAGCCTCCATCATCTTAACTTGGGTTCTGGTTTGATGACGAGGTTTGCTTAGACTAAAGTTTCTGGGTGGTTTCGGTTTTCAAACGTGCAGTGGTCAAATCCCATCTCACATCTGTGTGAAGTGGTTATAAGAGTATTAGTATTTTAAGTACAGTATAAGTGATAAGTTTCACTGATAGTTCACTGACGCCTTTTAAGAAACATCCGGTCCTTGTAAGTTATTCGAAAAGGACAGGCAAAGTTTAAGCTGCAAACAGTAGTCTCGTGCACACCAGGTTTGACATATGCGAGGGCTGTGCTGGAGCTGCAACTGGAACCTACGCCATGAGTCTTGGCTGCGGCGTGATGCCATGTACCCATTTCAGGCGCTCAGTCCAACTCCTTAAACAACTCCCGGGTCTTGACATGTTGTTTTTATCGTGTCCAAGGAGGGAATTGGCCGAGTGCCTTGGGTTCTCCTTCCGGACCATCTCAGTTTCAGAGCCCATGGAAATGAAGAAGAAGTTCATCAAAGCCAACTATCCCGGGACCAGTTTCTCAGCGAAAAACCATGGGGGGCACTGGATGAGAATATATGCTGCATTGGAGTAGTTTAGATGGCAAAGACTGCAATCAGCCAGAGCCAGGTGCTAATCAAAAACGCTTCTGAACTTCTGAGTTGTTAGATTTTATCAGAGTTGTTCTTCTCCTTCTTCTTCTCCTCTTCCTCCTCCTTCTCCTCCACCACCTCTGCCTCCACTTCCATGTTCACTGCCGCCTTGCCAACTCTTCGCCAAGCTCTTCCCCAACTTCCGCACGCAGTGGGCACTGCTGGACCTCAACTGCAAGGGTCTGAGCGCACTGGGCACCGCTGGACCTCAACCTGGGACCTTCCGAGCTCAGTGAGCACTGCTGGACCTCAACCTGGGACCCTCCGAGCTCAGTGAGCACCGCTGGACCTCAACCCAGTGACCACCGCTGGACCTCAACGGCCAGATAGAATGCCAGAAGATATGCCAGATAGAACGCCAGATAGAATGTCAGAAAGAATGCCAGAAGATATGCCAGATAAAGTGCCAGAATGTTTGCCAGATAGAATGCCAGAAGATATGCCAGATAGAATGCCAGAAGGTATGCCAGATAGAATGTCAGATAGAATGCCAGAAGGTATGCCAGATAAAGTGCCAGAATGTTTGCCAGAACATATGCCAGAAGATTTGCCAGATAGAATGCCAGAAGATATGCCAGAACATATGCCAGAAGATATGCCAGAACATATGCCAGAAGATATGCCAGGTAGAATGCCAGAAGATATGCCAGATAGAATGCCAGAAGATGTGCCAGAACATATTGCAGATTCAAGCTTTCGTCACGAACATTGGGGAGATAGTGACCAAAGTTTTGACCCATGCTTTCAACAGTCCTTCCCGTGGAACTACGGAAAGGGAGACCATTCAATTTCTGAGGATTTTCAACCAGGAAACCTTGCGAACCATGGGCAAAGAGCCAACCCTCCCACTTCCGGCCAAGGACCGTGGTTCCATATCTTTGTCGGTCAGTTTCTGTTTCCAAGGCCCCTTCATAACATGTAAAGAAACTAGTCACTAATTCTCAGAAACCAATCACTGTTTTTTCAAGAACCAATCTCAAACAGAGAGACAGCATCCATCCAACCAACCCTTGTGCTTTGTGAATCCAAGTAGATCACCAGTAGATCCCACTAAAAAATTCCACCAGCTCATGTGGCAAGATGGCAAAACCTCTGAAGCCCGCAAAAAGATTGTGAAATCCATGAAGAAAGAGCTTGGGTTGGCTCCATATGGGGATTTGCCTTCATACTCTGCCACCTTCTTGCCAGATGAGGTAGCAAAACTGCCGAACAAAAGGGAGAAGGAGTCACTGGACATCCAATGGGCCATACCCCAAGTTTCTCAGATTGAATTTTGTTGGGATGGGCTGATGTAAATGAAATGATTTTTCAAATGGCTCCAAATCGAATGATGATGTTCAATGATCAGTGACCAATGGATTCATGATTAAGTTAAATCAAATGACTTGATTACATGGTCATATGACTGATGTGAATCATTTATGTTGGTTTCATGTTAATATCATAGTTTGGAAGGTACCTTGATATGAAGGACATTAGTGATTAGTTGGGAACCGCTGGAAGCCGCTTCCAACCAATCACGGGTGATTAGTTGGAAACCGCTGGAAACCGCTTCCAACCAATCACACGCCCAAACTACCACCCCCCCGATTTTTTTGCAAATAGTTTCTAATGGTTGGAAACCGCTCGAAGCCGCTCACTGATTTTTTGATCTTGGTAGGTTGTGTGATTGGTTGGAAACCGTTGGAAGCCGCTTCCAACCAATCATGGGTGATTAGTTGGAAACCGTTGGAAGCCGCTTCCAACCACTCACTGTCAAGGCTAAACCTATCATATGTTAAAAATATGTTATTAACTTAAAAAGCTAAGTAACTAATTCAAAATTTATAGCTCACTTATAACTTATAACTTAAAAACTTATAACTTATATAATATAACTGAAATATATTTTTAAAAATGCTTAATATATACTTACTTAAAACTTATTTGTTTCTTTTGGCAAAGCTGCATGCAGAATGAATGAAGTATGGTTTGGTCGAAAGTAATCAAGATTTGTACATATTCGTGTGCAACATGTGTTTTGTCATTAGATATTGATATGCATGCATGCTGCATGCCATATCAAAAACCGATGGACAATAACACTTGGCATTAGTAAAAATTGTAACTAGTTGTACCTTGTAACTGTATAAGTAGTTTTTTTTGTAAACTGTATAACATGTCATGTGTTATGTGAAACATGATGCATCATATGAACATAAAGTCTGATATATACACTATGATGCTGGTTGATTATTGGTTGACACGGAGGGAGGAACTGACTCTAAGTTAATCATTGTGTATTTTCAACTCGTGACATGGTCCCGCCATTGTCTTGCCCATGATGCTTCATTAGCAGTTCATAAGAACAGATGACGTATGATATGTATAAAATATTTTATTCCCCACCTGCCAGGTGAGGGTTGTTAGATTTTATCAGAGTTGTTCTTCTCCTTCTTCTTCTCCTCCTCCTCCTCCTTCTCCTCCACCACCTCTGCCTCCACTTCCATGTTCACTTCCGCCTTGCCAACTCTTCGCCAAGCTCTTCGCCAACTTCCGCACGCAGTGGGCACTGCTGGACCTCAACTGCAAGGGTCTGAGCGCACGCACCGCTGGACCTCAACCTGGGACCTTCCGAGCTCAGTGAGCACCGCTGGACCTCAACCTGGGACCCTCCGAGCTCAGTGAGCACCGCTGGACCTCAACCTGGGACCCTCCGAGCTCAGTGAGCACCGCTGGACCTCAACCTGGGACCCTCCGAGCTCAGTGAGCACCGCTGGACCTCAACGGCCAGATAGAATGCCAGAAGATATGCCAGATAGAACGCCAGATAGAATGTCAGAAAGAATGCCAGAAGATATGCCAGATAAAGTGCCAGAATGTTTGCCAGATAGAATGCCAGAAGATATGCCAGATAGAATGCCAGAAGGTATGCCAGATAGAATGTCAGATAGAATGCCAGAAGGTATGCCAGATAAAGTGCCAGAATGTTTGCCAGAACATATGCCAGAAGATTTGCCAGATAGAATGCCAGAAGATATGCCAGATAAAGTGCCAGAAGATATGCAAGGTAGAATGCCAGAAGATATGCCAGATAGAATGCCAGAAGATATGCCAGATAAAATGCCAGAAGATATGCCAGATAAAATGCCAGATAGAATGCCAGATATGCCAGAAGATACGTCAGATAGAATGCCAGAAGATTTGCCAGTAACAAAAGGTATACGGTAGATGTCATGGTGGGGAAAACTCGAAGTAAAGTAATTATATAATATATAACTTATAAATATAGAATATATCATATCTATCATTTTATTTTGAGTGATTTTTTTAATGAATACAAGAAAGCGATATATGACAACAGAACATCAACATTTAAAATTTGAAGTGTGCTCAGAGCATACTCATTTCTGCCCTGGTCGGACTTTTGGTCTAAGTTTACTCATTTTAGTCTGGTCCATATACCATCATGCTATCTACTTCAACCACGCACAACCCCACTGATAAGATTCACTGAATATCAAATGTCCAAGGAAGGCCAGCACCAAAGCGGAGAAGGAAAAGGATCAGAACGCGGCTGTCAAGCAGAAGAGAAAGAAAGGTGACAAGGCTGAGGAAGAAGAGCCGGCTCCAAAACCGAAAAGTCGCAAAAAGTGACTGATTTTTCTTGAGCCCCTGGATGGTAGGGAGTACTGACCAAATCAGTAAGCAGAGATCCAGGACATAGAATTTTGGACCAGTGGACTCAGTAGACAGTGTCAAGCTGGTGGCAAGCTGGCCATTGTTGTGGCTTGATGGGATTTTGAAGAAACACATCTGAGCTTAGATTAGAGCATCACCCAGGACTTAAGGCATATGTTGGAAAGGCACCGCCGCTCTGTCTACTCTTTTGCTTGAAGAGATCAGAGACCAATCTCTTGGAAGAGACCGGGGCCAAAGGCAAAAGAGAGGGGGCTACTGGAGTGGGTTGGATTGGCAGGTTGTTCCCAAACCCAATTGGTTTGATAACTGCATTGCACACACTTACTGAAGTATCAAAACATGAGCCACACACTCCACACGCATCTCATGATGTTAGGATTCCTGTCTTGGTTTATATTTTGTTTGTTTTGGTGAAGATTGCTTCTTTTTTCTCTAGTTTTTTGTGATTAGTTTCTTGTTTTGTTGTGATTAGTTTCTTGATTTTTGTGACAAGTTTCGAATAGTTTCTTACAATTTGTGATTAGTTTCTCATATTTTGTGAGTAGTTTCTTGTAAAAACAGGTAAACAGGCTGAAGCAGGTCCCAATATATATATTATATATATAACCTTTCTCATCTATAGAACTTGCATGCGCCGTGCGCCAGCCAAGCCCGTGCGTGCATGCATTCTGCGAAATTTATATATTAATTATGTATATAATATATATAAAACTATATCACTATAGTATTCATGGGAATTATTTCCAAAACCAACAGACACTTACTTTTGGGGGCATCCCTGGTCCCCCAAACTGGCCGTGTGGCGGCCTTGCGGAGAGGCAGCAGGTCATGACTCCGAAGATGACGGTGGCATTGCGTACCACTGCTGCTGCCTGGAAAAGAGACCCAGGAGACTCTCGGGTCTCGGGCCTCGGGGGGCCGAGGGGGGCCTCGTGATGTGAGAAACCCAATGAGAAAAACTATGGGGCCATTTGGGGATGGTTTTTATAGCATCAAAATGGTGATCTTGGGGATGATTTTCATCATTCGGTTAACCACATTAGACGTCATTATGCTGATGAAGAAACTATAATGGCTCCATAAAGCAACGAACAGAACCGTTCGCACCACCTACTGTAACAGAAACAGCCAGCCAGTTTGCCCATTGGACGAACAAATGCACCAAAGTGTTCCGAATGTTCATATATCCTCTGGTAAATTAACATAGCTATGGAAAATCACCATTGTTTATGGGAAAAATCACTATAAATGGTCATGTTCAACAGCTATGTTAAATTACCAGAGGGTAAGTTGGAGCAACACCTACATCCACTGATCACAGAGCCAAAAATTGATGTGGCTATGGCTGACAAATACGGAGCCGAATTGTTGTGGGTCCATTGGTACTCGGTGAGACTGATCCCAGAAGTGGTTGAATAGAAAATGTGCTTCAGAAATCCTGAGAATCTTGAGGATCTTCGTTACGTGTTTCTTATAACACGACAAAAACATGTTGTTCTCAAAAAAAAACCCTCAAATTCATAGCATCTCATGGCGCCATGGCGCCATGGCCTGATAGTTAGTAAATGATGGTTTCCTGTGACTGGGTATAGTCATGCAGCATTTTACCATATTTTACCATCATAAATCAGCCTTTGTGACTCGGTGATTGATATTCCGATTTCGTCTGAGAACAGCTGTGACACCTTGCGGAAGACGTACAATGAACGCTTTGCAAACATCAATGGTTTGCTTGGTGAAGGATCAGATTCCACGTCAGGCATAAGATTGGGGCACTATCCACCATTCCGATGGGGAAAGCTGTGAAGCCAGTTGGCAGATGTTGGCAGGTGGTTCAGAAGCCACATATCACTATTATCACTATAGGGTTTATCTCATTCACAGCTGGGTTATAGCAACTTTTGTGGGTCCATTGGTGCCCCAAATGATTTCGAGGTCCACCATCTTAATATATCCCATACAATGTGTCCTACAACATATTCCCATAAAAATATACTTAAAACCCCCTTATCCCCATATGTGTTCGGGATATAATGGATTATAATGGCTATAACCATGTATAACCCCCCACATGACTTGCTTAAACACGATATAAATACGATGATATCTTCAGAAGCTGGTCCCCATGTTTTCCCGGAACTCCAGGAGCAAGACCTTCCTGCCGCATCCCTTCGTCAACGAGAACTTTCCAGCGCCTTCGCCCATGAAAGCCCGCATCAAGGTGTGTGACCGGGGTTGACCTCAGTGAAGGCTGGGTGACTTACCCAAACTGTAAACGTTTACAGTTTGCGAACTGGAAAATCACCATCTTTAATAGGTAAATTAACTGTAAATGTTCCATTTTCAATAGCAAACTGTTAAATTACCAGCGGGTAGCCATCAAAAACAGAGATGACATCAGGTGACGGAGCATCAAAAAACGTTGCTTTGACTGTGGTTAATGATGGTTTGTGGCCTTAGGAAGGGTTGGTATTGGATGATTGGGTTCGACAACGAAGATGCGGAGATAAACCCACTAGAATTGGGCATTTTATCCATGAGAAAGGATAGTTTAGCCAACCAAATATGGAGAGTTAAACGTCAACATGTTTGGAAGCTATTGTAAGATTGGCCATGGTGAGGTGATGAAGCAGGCAATTTTTTTAGCCGATGAAGGTCCCTGGTGAGTGCAAGTCTACAATTTTTTTGGGGAGTGATCCATTAGACAAGGAAATCAAACATGGGTATGTCTGAAAATGGGGTATACCTCCAATTATAGCCCAATTATAGTAGGGATAATGATCAGCAAAACCATTGGGTGTAGGGGTACACTATTTTCAGACAAACCCACATAATTACACATTGCTGCATGATCTGTTGCTAATTTATAGGGGCAAAGATCACACGAATATAGCTTTGGTATGGCTTAGCTCGCTCAGCCTTTGTCGAAATAAGTTGCTGCGCCTGCTTTGGATTGTCAGTTGGTATAGAAAAATGATGTCATACTCCGATTTTGAAGCACAAAAACCTCAGCAAACATCCAGCGGGATTTTTTGTTGGCTTGGAGGCCAAAAATCACCAACAAAGCACTGAAACAACTTATTGTTTTCCTTTGAGGTCCCTAATATCAGAAAAGAATGCACTCTATAATGTTTGTTTTTTTGGAACAATCAATAGACGTTTGATGTTGGGAGGCAGGTTGATCCATGATGTGATCTAAGCTATTCATTTGTTGGGTCCAAAGAGGTCAGGGCGGTCAGGAGGTTCGTATTCTTACCCTTTGGATGAGTGAACATAGACATTGAAACCTATGTAAAAGTGTATACTACATATTATGATATCTGTATAATATGTATATATATATAATAGATATAAAGTACTATATATATATTATATGTATACTGACTGTATATAATGTCCCATGGTTTCCTCAAGGTTTTTTCCTTATTTACCTTCGTTTACCTCAACGGATAGGGATAAAAATCAATCCATATCCACCCGAAGCCAGGTAGTGAGCTATAACCTCGAGTGGTGGAGGGTCTATGGAAAGTTGAAAGGAAATGGAGGATGGAACGGGCCGGGCTTTGGGTGACTCGACTTAGAGATACGGCTCGAACAAAATGTAGACGCCGTAGATCTCCCAAATGATGATTCTTTAAAGGGTTCATCAGGAGATGTTGACGGTGACATGTTATCTACCATCTAGTTATTTAACATAGCCATGGAAAATAGCCCATTTATAGATGGTTTACCTATTAAAAATGGTGATTTTCCATGGCTATGTTAAATAATCGTATGGTATATAAATCTATTGTTAACCAATAGTCATGAACATATGTGAACATGATTACATATCATCCATCACATGTTTGGGTACCCACTTTTCAGGTAAACCCTCATAGATACTGGCAGTGACAACCCATGGCCAGTGGTTTCTTAAGTGCTTTATTTGTCGAATCCATCTGACTAAGGGTCGGGTCTCAGACATGTTATGCTTGTAGATGTCTTGAATGCCTCTGACTCTTAGATACGGGTACTTGTACAGCTCAATACAAAACACATGTTTTACAGTACGGATTGGTCGGATTATATAGAGGACGCCAAAATCCATCTGTTGATAATCATGTTTCCCACGTGTTCCCCATTCAATGATGTCGTTTTTAAGGTATCCTGTGTTTTCAGACAGACCCAAACTGGGTCAACCTTGCTTAGTTTAGATGCTAACTAGTACCTTATGTTTTTTTGCTATGGTGAAATGTACTAACCAGCCCCAAAATGTACTAACCTCATAGAATTGGATAATGGGAAAATTTACAGGAAACCCCCTATATTTTATAGTAAAAACCATGGTTTCCTGTAGATTTTCCCTTAAACCAATCCATTGATAACCATGCAAATAGACCAGAATCTGGACCATGAAAGCCATGGCAGGCACTGAAGGAGGTGTTCTGGCAACGACGCATGTGCAGCTCGGCAGATGAGCAGTGGCTGCAAAACCCTTTTTGGTTGATGATGAGTTGAAGGATTATAATCTTGGGGATTATCACAATTGGTTGGGGAATCCCTATCAACCCACAAAAAAGGGACTTGACCACAAAAAAAATCACGAAACCGCTGAGGTTCTTGTCGGAGAGTTGTCATTTTGGGTTTTCCAAGGGTACAATAATGTCCTCCCTGGTATCGTAAACCGGTAAACCAAATGGCTGAACATTCAAGCACGATTAAATAATAGTTTGGTAGTTTGTTATTTTTAAACAATGGGTTGCCACATCACCAACAGGACCAACAGTGAATGGTACTGTGAGCTTGTCGCCTGCAAGTGACCGGTGTGATCGCCCATCTTTTGTCAGGTTCATCTGTTTGGAGATGTCGAATACACATTTGTCGGTTGGATTTGATAGGGAGCTTTAGATACCACCAGCAATATTGGTCTTAATTATAACATATTATAACCCATAGCAGGGAAACCTATCACCCAACCAATAAATAAATAAATATATATATATATATCATTATTATATCACCATTGATATGATGAGATGGGATATCTAAGGGTATGTTCAATGGCTCACTTGATGCATCACCGGATTGATTAACGGCCCACATCCCCATTTAAAAGTAAATCTTGGATGGGCACTTTAGTGCAACTTATAAAATGTGTTGCCATGTTTGGCTGAAACTGGGAGCACATAAGCTGGTTGGTGGTTTCAAACATGTTTTGTTTTCCATAATATATGGGATGTCATCCTTCCCATTGACGAACTCATATGTTTCAAGATGGTTATTGCACCACCAACCATATGTGTATATATATATATATTAACCATCATAAACCATATAATAACCATTAATATTAACAATATATTAATAGTATATTACCAACCAATGGTAGGTTATTGCACCACCAACCAGTCAGAATGCCGGGGATCTACACTTTAATCCGTTTGGCCAAGGGCCGAACCCATCGATCTCATCGCCTTCCAAGAATGCGGCAGCTGAGAGCAGATTAGCGATGGGTTGGTGGAAGTAGAATGAAGTAGATATCCCAAGAAATGGATGATGAATCATACCTTCCCCATCGTTTCCCGATTTTTTGCCATTTCATGTGCATACACCCTATTTTCAGAGAGACTCAGATAATATAACTATAGGCTCATCAGGTCCATTGGAACACTGAATATCAGATCGAAATGGGAAACTATTGGGTCAAACTTCGGTACAGGAAGGACCCACACATGATACTTCCACAATTGGCGTATAAAATTATATCTCAACAAATAACAAGTTGTTTTCCTTTTAAAAATTGACTGTTGGTTTCTTTGTTGTTTGGGTACCCTATCTTTGGCAATGAGCAAAGGATGATTCACCGACGATGGTGATGATGGTGTTGAAGGTGATGATGACGACAATGATTATTATTATGACAAGTAGAGGAGGAGGAAGGAGGATGATTATGATCACTTCTGATTAGTGGTTTGGAACATTTTTTATGTTTCTATATATTGGGAATTTCATCATCCCAACTGACCAAATCATATTTTTCAGAGGGGTACGTTCAAACCACCAACCAGTTATTCTCACATGTTCTCACTATGACAAGTATTCCGATTGATACTTGATGGTGTGGATACCCTAAGCCGTCACCGCGAAGCAGTGACCACATTGCCATGTCCCCACCGAACATCGACCATCAACAAGGCCCAGTAGTTGTCCAACACTTATGATACTCATGACTGACAGTGTCAATGGCATTCTCTTGGGAGGGAGATGTTAATATGTTTTAAATAACTACTGATGATTAATACTCATGATACTCATGATATCCCTATTGAAACAATGTTTGGGTGGAGGCTTTAAAGTTCAACTAGCCATCCAACACATCCCATCACCATGGCTCCGTTGTCGCCTGCTGATGGACATCCCTTACTGTCTTACGCTCTGATGGAGCCCCCATGAGAGGAACCACATCCATTGTGACTGGTAAATCTCTACATATGCATGCAAACATGATGAAAGTTGCCAATAGTTCCTGAGTAATATGATGATTGGCTGTCAATAGCCTCATGTTTTCTTGCTCCGGACATCTCCGGAAGACGCGACATGACGTTGAAGTCAAAAATGACCCATGGCCCATGTTGACAGATAACAAGATCCAAAAAATGATAAAACATCATAAAACACATGATATAAACTAATGAATTATCACTATGTGGGTAGGAGTTTACCTTTCTTAACCTTTTTTGTGGCTTGCTGAACGGTTTCCACACCTTTTCAAACAACGAGTCGAGGGGGCCCACATCCCAGGCGACAAGGATCGAGTGCTACAAGACGCCGGCTTACTGCCACGTAGCTTGGATACAATGGGGGCATCCCCGGTCGAGCTCGCGTTCAGTTGGTGCGTTAATAACTCCAATTTCATTATGGTTTATAGGTGATATGTCTATATATCTGTATATATATATACATATGTGATGCAGTGATATATATATATATATATGTATGTCTATATATATATATATTAAACTAGTTAATGGGATTATAAAGCAACAAACATAACTTGGGGGGCACTACCTTGTAAAATGGGGGGATCCCTAAGGTACCTAACGGGGACGGGGACGGGATTCAAGACGAAGTGGGCTGGTCATCCATGACGACTGGATGATAACTGAGCCCCACTTTTAAGTGGGCTGGTTCACAAGTAGACTACGCCTAGGTTATAACCCCCAAAAAAAACAACTAAGTCTAAGATCCAACAAAACCACAGGGGTTGTTCAGCCGCAAATATCGTCATATGGGGCCCATGGGGGTACCCAACATGGTTGGTTTATAATGATTATTTATAGTGTAAAATCCCAATCTAAAATGGATGATTTAGGGGTACCTCTATTTTAAGAAACCTGCATATATTACATATTATATACACATAACCAGTTTGGGATGGTAACCTGGTATGAAACCAACCATAACGCGGATAGCATAGGAGAAAAAGTGGAATTGAGATCTAGCGAGATATGATGGGGAAACAAATGGGCATATTTCATGGGATATAGAACACACAGGATGGGGCCCCAAGATAGCTAAGTTGCCTTATAAGTGGCTTAACTATGGTTTATGGATGTTTATGGTGGATACAACTATAGTCTATAGTTAATGGGGTTTATAAACCAACTTATAACTGGGGGGCACCATCCTGCACACACACAATATTAAATGGATTTGCCAAAAATAGGGGATGGTCCCTGAATTCATGGCAATTTTGATCGAAACCATGGTGATAAACCATCAATTTGGAGTACCAACATGTTTAGACCCATGACAAGTTGACTGATGGTGGTTGATTGTTAGCAGTGCGGATGACAAGTTTTGGCACTGCCTATGGTCAAAGTCCTTCAAACCTGTTATATGGGGGTATAAGTATAACGCAGTTGCCAGCCAGTCAACTAATTACTGTATAGCTAATTCCTTGGCGCACAGCATGTACTGTACTACGTTGTTAGCAACTTCTGTCCAAGCAGCAGAAGGCTTTCACTGTGAACTGTGGTAGCCTATGCTCCATGTTCCTAACTGTTGGATATGGCAAACACATATAAACACATATAATATCCTGTGTTAAATGGGGATATTACCATCTATAGCAGGATTACTGCAACCCGTAGGTAAATTATATAGCCACATGGAGGAAACTGGATTTTTTACCTCTTCATCTACCGATTTAACCCCCCAAACGTATCTGGGGTGTTGGGAGTATGAGTAACAATGTATAGGATTGATTACTGTACCCAATCTATTCGTGTTTCTAATTCTATACCCTCCAGTAGTCAAGTCCGTGGCTTGCCGGAAAATCACCCATTTAGTTAGATGATTTTGCCAGCGAACGAAACCTCCACTTTTGGAGGATTTCCCAGCAAGCCATGTTTGATGACACCGGAGTCGCAGGAGGGTACACATTGTATTTGATTATATCCCAATTATACTGGCTAATGGCTAAGTCACCATTGTTGTTGGTTAAGTGTCATTAGATCACCATTTGTGTTTGTTAAATCCCATTAAGTCACCATATTTTTGTTGGTTAAATCCCATTAAATGACAATT